CTTCGAAACCCTACTCGGCCTTTCCAGCCATAGGGTTGACCGACTCGGCATGGTGGACAGTCGCTTTGGACAGCGACCGACTAAGCCTTCACCTTTGCGGGCCTCAGTGGATTCCTTTTGTATGCTGCTTTACAACTCTGTCGCAGAGCCGTTGCCAAACAAGCACCTGTGGTGCATTTGGACATGTTTTGGACATATTGCACGTTGGGATTTGTGTCTTCAATTTGGGTCATGCTTGGTTTCTTGTCACACAGCGTGTTCATCTGAGGATGGTCAGGGTGGGCCCAGCAAGGCGGAAGAAAATGGTAGATTCCGACACTGATCAATGGGGCGAAGGCGGTGTCACCTACCACAGTGATTTTGATGTGGACCAAGATGAGGACCTCAAAGAGTACTTGGGGAACAATGCCACTTTTCTTTTCCAGATGTGCAGCACTGGTGGGTTTGCTGTGCCTCAACTTTAAGCCAGTGCAAAACATGGCAACACTGTTTGTTGGTCTAGACATTATTTTTGTTGACGAGGGTTTGGTGGTTCTGTGTTGTTTTGTGGTCTAGTATTAGGACATCGCTGGATCGGCCAGAAAGCACTTGGCGCCGGGCACAGTGTTTGACATCTTCCAATTTTACTCTGGATGGTGCTCGGTTCATGGCATAGAGCACCAGGCTTCGTTCCTTGGGAGATGAGATGGGAAGAGCATTTACTTTGCGTTTCTTGTTGTGTTTTTGTTGTAGGCCAGACCATCCAAATAGTTGACAAGGCTTATCAAAATTTGTCCCTTGACAAGCTCATCCGTCTTGAGCTGAACCTGGTTGGCTATTCACATCTGCTAGGTATGGCACGTTCCTGAAATATTGGAACGAGAAGTGGACTTTGATTCTCAAGTTCAGATCCAGAAGTGAGTTTGCACAGTGTGACGTGTGCCAGGAACTAAAAGCACAGCAACTGGGATTGGTTTCAGTCAATGGATTTGGTTCTGTCCCCAAAGGATTTGAAAATGGTTGTGGGCCCCAATCAAACTGTGCAGGTATCAGGATCGAAATCTTGCTATGGGGGATCGGCTTCAGGCATTGAAACTGTATCGGGCACATCTAGTAGCGCAGTATGCTGACAGGTGTTGCTTTTGGAGCCTGAAGGACCTGACGACAGATGCGCTGTCACGGACATTGGTGTTGGCAACAGATGGCGCAGACCAAGCCAACTAGCTATTCAATGAAAGATTTATAAATTTCCTTCACTTTTGGGTTGATTTCCAGGAAACTGATGATAGTATCCACCTGCATTGAACAAATTGGTTAGTCTGAGGCCAAATACGCCATACCGAGATCACCAGGACTACTACATTGCCATAGGGCGCAAAAGCTTCAGCGACCCCGGCTAAAGCTACATGCTGTCTGGAGTTTCTCACACTGTTTGAGAATATGCGTTCTTGATGAATCCACCTACCATGGCAGCTCGATGGTTATTCAGACTGTGGCCATGACCATTGAAGACTCAATCCGTATTGCTCAGGAGAAAGGTCAAGCAAAGCCAGACACCGTAATAATCGTAGGGGACAACACGGTGAAGGAACTCAAGAACTCCAATTGTCTCAACTACCTCCTCAGCTTGGTAGCTCACAAGCGGGTAAGGTGCCTGTATCACACTTCAGAGGTCCAAGTTTTTGTTTTGTTGCCCTTTATCATTGCCTTACAAAACTTCAAGAAACTGAGGAGGTGTTCTTGGAGCTCAGGTACGCCTGTGCGATGATGATGCGGGTGGCCCACACCCACGATATCGTGGGCACCTTGTCTTTCACTTTGTTTTGTTGTTGTAATCATACTTGGGAATGAATCTTACTTACTTCATTCCGTCATTCAGTGTTTGAACCCACCTACTTAGAGCCATGGGTGTGGTCTCACATCATGGCATTGCATTTGTTTAAAGCCTTTGTTACATGGTTAGCCAAAATATTTTGCTGTTTTCTTTCTAAATCTTTTTCATATCTCCTTTCTCTTGCATGTTTCTCCTGGTGGGCTTCCATGGTGTAGAGTACAAACGAAGTTGGTGCGCCTCTAAGGGGAATGGAAATGATAGAATTCCAGCAGCAACAGCAACACATTTTGTATACCCAGCCAATTACCAGACCCAAATACAAGAAATCACACCATGATAGCACAAGCCAAAATCTATATTGCAACGTTTTCGAACAATGAACGAATCTGTGTTCACCCGTTTGCTTTGACCCACACACTTTTTCTGATTCACACTGCAAGTTTAATTACACATCTGTTTGGTCAATGTCTTGGCCAAACCAAGACCAACTATGGGGGCTGCTATCCAGACAGCTTGGGAGGAATCCAAGCATTGTAGATACAGATTCAGCTGTCTCCATTCTGACAACAGAGCTACAGAAGCCGAGTGTGCGCAAGTGGGTGAATGGTGAGATCTTGGTGCATACACTTCGCACACACAGAGACTGGAAGGGTCACTACAAACAGTATGCGCCAGTTGAATTCGACTTTCAACTTGTACTTGGTTGAACTTTTGCCTTTTTCTTCTCTGACGCAAACCATTTTTCTCACCTTGAACTTGTTTCCACACATTGAATTCCAAGGAAGGTGGCCTTTTGTTGGACAGAACAGCCAACCACTTCTTTTTCTTCCTCAGAAGACGAGGCAAAGCTTTGCCCAATACATTTTACTGTCCAATTTCCAATGTCAACATGTCACCCCTGACAGACCTTCCTGATGTGGAGATTGATGAGGGTCGGCATGGGCGGCGACCAAAGCATGATGATGATGGCTTCGTGATTGTGAAGGAGTACATCAGCTCGACCACGATGCGACAAAAACCCCTTCTTTGTGCGCTTGCTGAAAACACACCTCGTGTACCTTTGCTTCCAGAAGGAACTTGAGAATCATTCAGTACTTTTTCATGAAGTGAGACTTTCCAAGGTCCTAACATTCATCTATCTATATATATATATATATTTATACTTCTTTCCTGTGTACCTTTTACCTTGGAATTAACTGGTCAAGAGTCTCTTGGAATCTAAATCCCAAGAAGCCAATCAAGGAATTATGCCTTTGCGACCCATTCCGGCAGAAACAAAGGAGAAGTGGATGAAGCTTGCAGATGTCTTCACCAACCTGTTGGGAGGGACAGAGGATACTCAGCGGGCGAGCCAATACCTGAGACAACTTGTGAATGATAGCCTACCTAAAGAACCACTAGCACCATTACCTTGGCACGCATCCCCTCCCGAAGTGGAGGTGATGCCGGTGGCCCAAGGCCAACCACATGAGTGTGTTCTTGCTGTCCTTAGTCCTTCAGTGCCATTGCGAGTTGTTTGGCGCCGAGGACGGCCAGCTTGAGAAGCCAAAGAAAATTGTTTGCATGGCTGGCTTGGATCAGCCATACAAAACAAACAAGTTTGCCAAGACTCCTGATTTTTTTAAAAAGAATTGAAGCTGTACTTGGCTGTACCTTCTTATCCGCTTGACAAATTTGCACTTAGGCCAGACGTACCTATGAGATGCAGCTTAGCCAGTTTCCAGGTCTGCCCAGCTCTTTTTGTTTACTGGCCAGCACAAATCACTGCTGGCCCAAGTGCAGAAGTTCAGCATTGCCAATACGAACAATGCCACCCCCACCGATTTTGATTCATAGATAACGTCAAACTTTTCCTTGTGGGTGGGCAGCTCAACCACAAGGAAAACATAGGGCGTAGAGGGGGGTCCACCGATTTTCAATTTTTTGAAAAATTGAAGAATCCTTGGGGGGGGGGTACGTCCTATGATTTCCTTGTGGGTGGGCAGCCAACCCCCACCGACTTTGATTGATAGATAACGTCAGACTTTTCCTTGTGGGTGGGATAGGAAATACGAAGAAGACTTCAGTAAGAAATGGGTGGGGGTGAGGAGCAAACCCACGACGACTTTGGACACTTGCGCGGGGACAACCACGACGACTTTGGACACTTGCGCGGGGACAGCCACGACGACTTTG